ATCCTTAATAATTTGATCCATTACATGTACATAGATATATGGAAGAAAATAAATTATGAGTAACTTTTCGTTTCACCAAAAATCATTACTATATCTGTTTATATATGCATCAAATCTATTTTTTTCTAATTTATAATCATTGTTTCACTTGAAACTAATGTGGATAATATTTATCGTTTTATAAATGAATGTCTTACCAATTTAAAATATAAATTTTAAGATATAGGTTTACTTTATTAGTTATTCCAATTTTTTTGTTCTTTTAGAAGTATGCATGTCCTTTTTTAATTAGAAGCAGAAGAAATATTTGGAATTTTCTTACTTTAATATAATTAAAGTAAATTTTCTAATTCACTATTATCATTAAAATTTTTATTTTAAGTTTTTCTGCATACCTCATATATTAATAAATTTATTATTTAATTTCAAATTTTTTTATAACTGTTATTAACTTATATAAAAAAATTTCATTTTTATCTATCTTCAATATTTTTCTTTTCTGAATATAGCAAAATTACTTTACATAAGTTATCACTTATTTATTTTGAAGTTTCTTAATATATTAAACTTTTTATTTATAAATTTTTTGGTATCTTTATTTAATGTAACATATACATGCCAACTATTCATTCAATTTTTAGAAGAATTTGTCTCACATGAATGTAAGGTTCTCCTCATTTTGTATAGAATTTTTTTTTACTTGAATAAAACAATATATGATACGAAATATATATATATATATATAATATAGTAAAAGGCTCCAAATAAAAAGTTTCAATATCAAATCAATCTTCTACATCACAAACTATGAACTATTTATTCACCAGGGGAAATTAATTCATATTTTCTTTGTTGTGACAATATTTTTTCATTTAAAAATCTACATTAATGGCACTTGGATAATATGTAAATCAAAATGGTTCTCCTTAAAAAAGTAAAAGAACATTCAGGAAGTGGCAGAGAGAGAGACTCACTTTTATATGAAAAAAAAAAAAGAAAAATAAACACTTATTAGAAAAGAACTTAATTTTTTAAAAAATAAAAATATATGTAAAAATAGCTCGAAGATTAAATCTTACAAGAACTCATTTAAGACTAAATACATAACAATCCATTTTACTGACATAAGAAGCATAAAGAAAGAGAAAAAGTATAGAAAACCGTTAAATAAGTATACTCAATTAATAACTCTTAGAGAATAAAAGCCAAAATATTTAGCATGGAGTAATATAAGTGAAGATTATAGCCAAAATACTTAAATTTGTAACCATCATTAAAAAAGTGGGCATCAACCACCAAGCCAACCTATAAAACAACAATCTTGTTAGCATGAATAAAAGCCTACTCATATTAGGACAAGTAGTTAAACAATTATAAAAGGTCAAATATATTCTTTATGCATTAATGACTAATGATAAAGATAATTATAATAAAATTTCAATGAAGTTCCTTCCAAGAAATCATCAATAACTAATAAGAAAAAAAAAATTTAACACTTAATTATCATTTATGTAATACTAGATACAGAGTCTAATATAAATTAAGTAAAAAAAACTATTCATCTCAAACAAACTAGAAAAATAAAAAATAAACTATTGAAACACAACAAACTTAAGTTCTGAAAATGTTAAAAGAGAATCAAATACCATTAAATCTATGATCTTCGCTTTATAAAGAATAATACTATATACAAATTGAGTCCAATATCATTTATATAATACTAGATACCGAGTTTAATATAAATTGAGTAAAGAACAATTATCTTAAAATAAACTCAAAAAATAAAATAAGAAAGACCATTGAAACACAATAAACTTTAGCTCCAAAAAGGTCAAAATAGAGTCAAAGACCACTTAGTCTATGATCTTTGTTTTATAAAGAATAGTGCATAAAATCTAAAAAAGATGACCAAAACAATAATCATGTCAATAAATTAAGATATTGACAAAAGATGAAAAGGATGACGAGACAATCACCTAAAGAAATTTTGGCAGATATTAATAGAGAAGTTCATTATCAAGTTTCAACATCAAAACATAATTTTGTGCATTAAAATTGTTAAAAATATGTCTATTGTGAAATAATAACAACTATAAGCATTAGCATAACATGAACTTTTTAATGAAACACATTACTAATCACATTAATCTAGTTAAAATCTCTTTCGTAACTCATCACATTTTTGACCAAAAAATTTGTGAAAAAGTATTCTCAATCACATAGAATATATACTATATTACTTGTGCTATTCTCATAAATTTTCTTTTTGGTTGAAACCCCATTTTCTCTTGCTTTTATTGTTTATGGATGTGATACCCCATTTTTTTCCGAGTAAAATCACATTCTCAATCATTGGAAACATTACATAGTAAAAATAACATAGGATTATTATGAATGCAATTCCTTAGTTTCTTAAATAAAATCAAAATATTTGAAATTAAATATAAATTTTAGTAAATTCAAAATTTTGATTTTACTTTTAAATTTTCAACATTTTCTCATCATTGAAACCATTTTATTTTTTTATAAATCTTTAACAAAGAATTAAATTAAACTTTAAAAAATAAAATTAAAAAAAAATGAAAAAAAAAAGAAATAGAAAAAGGGAAAATTAAAAAGAACAGTAAAAGAAGAGACAATACCAAGCCCATTTCACATTTATTTAAACCCCCTTGAATTTAATTTTAGACCTAAAAACAAATTTTAGAAAGAGCCCATTCTTATTTTTGGTCCAATTCATTAACTTCCTAAAACCCTGAACCCGCCCACACTGGATGAAATCCCACCCCCTTCTTCCCAAAATTTGCGACCTACCTTTTCAATTCCTTCAACAAAAACCCTTATCAGAAACCTCTAGAAACCCTCATCTTCCTCGCTTCAATGACAGACTAATGACTGAGCCACCATCATCAACTCTTTGATTTCAATGAGTTACTGAGAGTTCAAAGGTGATCAGAGCTGCCTCATGCAGTAGTGCACGACATTGTTGACAAAGGGAAAGCAATGACGGGGGTAACAATCTTCCCCCTATTCCAAATAAATTAGCAGTAGGCGTTTTGTCCAAAGACGACTATTTCCTCTTGGATCCAACGTTAGGGGCAAGGGGAACTCTGAAAAGAGTAAAACGAGATGTTGTCTTCTATTTTGGAGGATGGCGATCAAACATATAGGTTTCTGGGTTCTGAAATTTGCACTATGGTTAGACTCTTTGCTACTAGAAGCTAAATTTGCACTTAATCTGCAAAGAGTCTAACCACTGCAAGAGGAGCCTTGCTAGTAAAATATGATATTTCCCTAACCTCTAAAATAGACACATGTGCCAAAGGATGAGAAAACTTGTAAGATATCTCCAAACAATAGGGATATGTTGAAGGTCTAACATTGATATACTCATGTACAGATGCAACCCACAAATGGAGGGGGATCCAAAAGCTGAATAGGAAGGGTTCCTCATAAATCAACACATGCATAAATATGTCCTTATCATTCTATTCCAAATCAATCCTTATTGAAGTTGAATTTTGAAAGCGCTCTTGATTTTTCTCTTTTCCAAAGATTGAATTTTACCTATGATTTCTTTTGCGTCAAAGGAATCAATGTTCAAAAAGACATCATGTATATTAGTGACAATTATTAAATAAGTAGAATATATAAACAATACATAAGGTTGGTTGCTTTTGCTTCAAATTTTTGTAGATGATTCCTCTTAGTTTGAATATATATATAGTTATTCAAGTGTGAATTGTAAGCCTTTTAAAAATATAAGGAGTGCAGAATGAAGTAGAGAAACAACTTGGAATAAGTATTAAAACACTTTGATCAAATTGAGGTGGAGAATACTTGAGTTCTAGGTTTTTGGATTACATTAAAGGAGAATGAAACTCTCTTAATAGACTCTGCATGGAACACCATAAATGGATGGTGTGTTTATAAAGAGAAACTGAATTTTGTTAAGACCATGATGAGTAACAAATCTTTATTAATACTGTTTTGGGTCTATATCTTACATGTTGCCATATATTTGCCAATATCATTATGGACAAGCAATTCGTAAATTCTTTCTCATTTGGAAATCTAGGGTTGTGTGGCTTCTTTTGACCTCTACAATATGAAAAATAAAATCTAGGTTAGATAAGTGTTTCTTTGATATGCATTCTAAGAAAACTAGATGATATTAATTCTACGATTTGAGGAACAAAAAGTGTTTGTTATCGAGCATTCCCACTTTTTAAAAGAAGAGTTAATAGAGGACAAGTAATAGTAGAACCACAATTTTCTTGCAATATAGAGAAACATATAAAAAATATAGGAAAAAGAATAAAAAATTAGATAGGTAGAGGGAAATATGGGATAAAATAAAGACTTTAGAGGGAGAATAGAAGAATTTTAGACAAACATGAAGAACAAAATAAGGAGAGACAACTCAAATATCAAGGATCAATTCAGTATCTCAATATTTGAATAATAATTATGAATAGTTTATTTAAAAACTAAGCCATATGATCCGGTGTATTCTGCAATGTGATAAAAATTCAATTTAGAACATTT